AAAAAGACTTTAATGGGAAAGAAATTGCCCGGATTACGCTTCGTGTTGTTTGTTTTTCTTTAACGATTTGAAAGGAAAGCAGTGCTAAGGCAACAGAACTTCTCTAAGCACTTTTCTGCTGGTTTAAATTAGTTAAATTATTTCGTATAAATTAGATATAATTCTACCTTTCCGATATGTATAAAAATTGATGAAGCTGCATGGTTTAAAATAGGAAATCCACGTTATAAAAAGTCATTAAAAATTCTGTACAAAACCACAACAAAATAATTCGGCGCGGGAAAGGTAACAAGTAGTAAAACGTTGGTTGAAAAATAGAGATCTCATATATATTTTGTAATTGGCCCATCGCGAGGTTAAAAATTGCATAGATCCGAATTATTGCTGGTGGCCCCGCTCGGCGGCGGCGCTCACTCGTGGAAGATGGCGCTGAGCTGCGCGCTCAGGACGCGCTCATGGTGCGGGTGCCCCTCGTAGGGCGCCATGCCGTCGGCCGGCAGCTCGCAGCGGGCGGCGGCGCCCGAGAAGACGGCGGCGTGGGCGGGCGCGGCGGGCAGCGGCCCGGAGGGGTAGTGCATGGTGAAGGCGTAGCTCTTGTCGAAGTCGGCGGCGGGCTCGTGCTTGAAAGAGAAGTTGCCGTTGATGCTGAGGGGCGGGCTGAGCGGGCCGTCGAAGGCGGGGCCGGCGCCCTCGGGCAGGCCGCCCTCGAAGAAGGGCTCGAGCGCGGCGCCGTAGGCGTGCGGCGGCTTGAGGTGGAAGAGGTGGGAGCTGTCCATGGTGCCGTAGGGCGGGCTGGGCAGCCCCGGCGACGCGTAGGGGAAGGGCGGCGGAGCGAAGGGCGCTCCCGCGGGCGGAAGGTGCGGAGGGGCGTCCGCGCTCTGCTCGGGCAGGAACGTCCGCGGGTTGAGCTGCAGGCAGCCGGCCACCAGGTTGGTGGTGGGCTGCGAGAGGCCCTTGCACAGTGTCTGCACGAAGGAGACCAGGTCGGGGCTCTTGCCGGAGCGCAGGATCTCAGACAGCGCCCAGATGTAGTTCTTGGCCAGGCGCAGCGTCTCGATCTTGGAGAGTTTCTGCGTCTTGGAGTAGCAGGGCACGACCTTGCGCAGGTTGTCCAGGGCCGCATTCAGGCCGTGCATGCGGTTGCGCTCCCGCGCATTGGCCTTCATGCGGCGCAGCTTGAAGCGCTCCAGGCGTGCCTTGGTCATCTTCTTCTTCTTGGGGCCGCGCCGCTTGGGCTTCTGCTCGTCGTCCTCCTCCTCCTCTTCTTCCTCCTCCTCCTCGTCCAGCTCGTCCTCCTCGTCTTCCTCCTCACCGTTCCGCAGCGCGTCCTCTTCGGCCTCGCCGTGCAGAGCCTCCAGGTCCTCCTCCTTCTTGTCGGCCTCGGGCCCGTCGGCGGGCGGGCTCAGGCAGCCTGCCGCCCAGCCGGGGGGGGCCTGCGCCTGCGGCTCGCCCGCCGGCCCGCTCTCACTGTACGACTTGGTCATGGCGAGCGCCTGCAGGACAGGGACAGCGCCGGTCAGTGGCACCGCTCGAAGCCGGGCGGGTGCCGGAGAGTCGCGGGAAGGGAGATGAGAGCGGGTGCGGGAAGATAGCGCTCGGGGACAGGGACGGCCCCGGGGACGCAGCTCCTCCCGCCGCCCGCGCCCCGACGCCGCGGACAGCTGCTGGCTCCGCGCTCCTGCCCGACCGCTCCCGAGCGACGCGTATCCCCATACAGGTGCCCACCCCCTTCCGGACCCGTTACCTCCGTTCTCAGCCTCTCCCGCGCGGTGACGGTCGCATAACCCCGCC